AGGCTGTGGCCTGCGCGTCCCTGAAGCACGGCCGGAGGCATGCTCGGGAGGGAGTGCTTGGGGTGATTTCCCCTGCGCTAAGAGGAGGCCGGGGAGCTCTCACTTCGGCCCTTACAGGGGCAGCTGGTAGCACTGGGAGCCAGAGTGCAGCTCTGAAACGTTTAACTCTTCTGGAATTAATCCGGTCATCCTTACGCCGGAATAACGGGGCGATGTCACCTGTCCGCGGGCAGGCCCCGGAAGACGGTCTGACCTAACAACAGCTTTTTAGGGGGAAACAGTTCCACGAGCATTGTGTCTGTGGCAGTACGTGAACACAGCCCTGTGTGCAGCCCAGTGCCCAGCGTTTGGCGTGCGGGTCGCCGGCGGGTTGTCTTCAGCGTCACGGATCACAGCGTTGTTTAGACCGGGCAGGTTGGGGGCAGCGTGAGTGCTGCTGCGCCAGCTTGGCGGCCTTTCACCCCAGTTTGGTGACGATCCCTGTCTCTGTTCAGTGTCTCCTGAGGCTACAGGCGGGTGTTTGAGGAGTACATGCGGGTTATTAGCCAGCGGTACCCAGACATCCGGATTGAAGGGGAGAACTACCTTCCTCAACCTATATATAGGTAAGCGAATGTCGGCTGCAAACTCTTTTCCACGGTGTAGGCTCGGCATGGTGAGCGCGTGCGTTTACACTTGAGTTGTACGGACGGCAGAACCTCGGGCATCTTTTCCCGTTACGGTTACACACCAGCTCCCTTGCCCTCTCTTTTCCAGGCAGGCACCTTAGTTTTCCATCCAGATACTCCCATCTGGAGGTCTGTGTGCTGGGATTGGAAGCAAATGACATAATTAACTTTTTCCCCCAGTGAATTTTTCCTGCTGTCCCTCGTGTATCTGGACGTAAATTCACATTTGTTGCTCGGCTTGTGCGCTGGAGTGATGAGGTGTTGCGCGGGCCAGGCAAGCACGTCCGGTGTGGGACCCCATCATGAGGGAACGAGCGCCTTGCCCCCGCAGGCACGCAGAGGCTGAACGCACACCTCTGTCAGGTCTTGGCGTAGGGACCCCCTGAGCTGTGTGTGAGGTGTACCAGGGCGGGGTGCTGCCGAGGGGGCTGTGGTGGGGGTTTTACCCCAAGGATGCTTACCTGAGACGTTGGCGTTTCCTCTGAGGCACCTGTACGCTGTCGCAATCCGTGGGCGAATTGCAGCACTAACGTGAACCTTTGTCTTTTGCAGGCACATAGCATCCTTCCTCTCTGTCTTCAAACTAGTGTTAATAGGCTTAATAATCGTCGGCAAGGATCCTTTTGCTTTCTTTGGCATGCAGGCGCCGAGCATCTGGCAGTGGGGCCAAGAAAACAAGGTGAGCGGCGTACTTTGTCCTTCCGTTCTGAC